CATCTGTGTTATTCATGTCTAGCCATTGTACCCCGCAGAAAGATGTCCCAATTTGCTCTTAAGTAATACCGTCCCCTGGCTGTACTGTGCGGACAAAATACCAACAATCGCAGTAAGAACGGTACAATATCTCAGGTTGTGTGCTTGCCTTCTCTTTTTAATTAATTCCCATGGCAATGCCTAAGCACCTGAAAGTGCAGGGGGACCCTTGAAGCAAAGGACGTGAAGGGGGTATAATACCTCATCAATCTAGCGGCGCGAAGCCCGGCAGCAAAGATGCGGCCGTACAGCAGCGATATGATCAGCACAATGTCATTGGCAACATTTGTGTCTTTTGGTAAATCGTGTAGGCCTTGGGGCGGCACATATGTAGGCTGATTGGGTTCCCGATTGAGTAACCTGACCGTCTTGAAAGGGGCCGCGGATGTGTTGTGATTGCACGGTTTCTCTGATGACAAATATCAGAAACAAGAATCATGTCGGAAATGAAACGACACCCACAGCTTTGCACGCGCGTTGTCCGGAGCATTATGCAATCAGCGATAGCGCGTTCAGAAAGTGCATTTCTTTATTGTGACCTTTCCTTCCCGTGTTATATTTAATACATCAACTATTGATACGTCTCGGCCCGATTTTTTAGTTTTGCTCTGTTATGGTTTTGCTGGTTTTGTTTATGAGTTGGTTTATTTGTTTGTTGTGTCTTTTTTTTCTTTTTATTATTTGCCTTTTCGTTTTCCCAAGCTTAAAATAAATACAAATTCACGGTATTATTACTGAAGGACATCACAATATTGATGAGTTCTTTTGTTGTCTTGACTTTTTCTCATTTGTTTTCTACCAACCAGCTATCTATTAAAATGATCAAAATTCAAAGAAAACGTTTGTTTGAGAAGTGTAAAATTCCCAGCCGATAGATGTAATCAGAAATTCAAACCGATCATTTAATGACCACGAAGTATTTTGCAAAGAAATGATTTAATCTTTTTTTTGTTGGTGGGAATCACTTGGAGAAACCAGGGCACGAGTGCGTTCACTCGAATTATTGTCGTAAAAATAGAAATTACTCCCATCTCGGACAACAAATTAATCATTTGATTATGCATTGGCCTCGATGTGCAATTTCTTGTACGGCAAGATATTTGAGGCAACGTGTTTATGTGTAAAACGACAAATTTTCAACTGGTATCTTTTATTTTAATGAAAACAAAAAGTCGTTTTGGGGCGTTTCTAACCCTTTGAAAACGTGTGTGTTCTTAGGGTTGGTTTTGCGCAGGATTAGATATGCGTTGCGAGTAGCCAGGCTGCAAGTCCCTACATTCTTGTAGTGATCATAACAGTTTTCAGCCTTCATTTTTGCGTACATTTAAGAAAAGAGTTTGTCGATTATTCGAGAGGAAAAGTGAAAAAATGTTGGGAATAGTAATTTTTTAGTTACATTTAACCAAGTACATTTAAAACCGGCTAGGGGCCTGGACGTCGATAATGGCCCGAGCAGAAGGCGATGGACATTATCCGCGTCCAGGCCCCTTTGCCGGTTTTAAACGTACTTGTTTAATATCGACCAAGCGCATGTTTATTTCCGGCCCATTCATAAATACCTTTCGGTCAAAAAGTCAAAACAAGTCAAACATTCATATTTCCAACGATTTGTTTAACAATAATTGCACAAGTACTTCATATTTTGTGAAACAACCCTTTAGCCATGTCTAATGGCATATGCCTCGCGCGCGTAATGCTAAAAATTGGCTTTTTTGGAGAAATTGGCGCGCGCGGCGTGTACTGCCCGATGTGGCGCAGAACGCAGCGGTGTTTTATCTGCGGTTTAAAACCACCCACGTAACGGGCTAAGTTGTCCAATAGGAATGGGTAAACTGTCTCTGGTATTCATGAATATAAATTACCATCACAGTTATAGGTGCTTGTAGATGCGATTATTTTGAAATGACGTGCTTTCGTGCCTCCGAATTTACTCTTTTCATGATTGATGAGGGAAAAAGCGGAGATTCGCACATTTGATAATGGCAATTGGCCGGAGTAGCCTGAGCGTGCATATCTCACATTGCTCTCCCATTGTGTGCTTGTCACGGACCCAGCACGTGCTAAGTGTCGCAGGCTCCGTTACAAGTCACGGCGTAAGACAATATTTATTGCCGCTGAGTCAGGTGCGAATCAAGGCAATCTGTCAAGCTAGCTGCACACCAGATTTTTATCTCATTCGTGGCACGCACTGTTTCGCCCATAAATATACCAATACGCTAGAAATTACACCGTTACTGTCGGTCTTAAAAAGTTAGGCTGGGATTAATCCATAACGGATATCATCCCTGGGCGGCTGTAGAGAAATTTCAAATCAGAATTTCAAACTGGAGGGTCTTTGTGCTCTCTTTGTATGCCTAATTGGGAGTATAATGTCTGTAATGTCATACAATGGTTAAGCACTACCAGTTTGATGCCTTTTATACGGATTTTGAAACTCTGGCAGGAGGCTTCTACATGTCACTTTGTAGTCGGTCAGTCGGTCCCCGGAAAATTTACCAAAATAAGCCCCCTATATTAAATTTCCCATAAATATAACTACCAAATTTAAATTCTCAAAACAAAAGCAAAAAAAGTGAATTAAATACTTTAACCAAAATTGTTTGCAATTCGGAAAGATGTTTGTGAAAAGTTTGTTAATAGAGGCAAAATGTGTGTAGAATTGTTATAGTGTATATACGTGCATGGTATTCATCACAAATCGCTATAAATCTAGGTATAGGCCTACAGCTAAAGTATGGTGCTCCATATGTGTCATCGGCGTCGCATTTTGGACGTCGCATTTTTAAGCTCTGGCAGGGATCATTTTGATCGATTTCATGCAAGATTTTCATCATGCAAGACGGCCAGAGCTTCTTTTGCAGTCGCACTTGTTTTTCTACAGCCAAATACTTCAACGTTGAAAGGTACTTAAAGGTGTCTTTTTGCATTAGTGAATCTTCGTATTAAGAAATTCTTTGCCAGTGTCCATACGTTGCAAGTTCTTTCAGCGATTCGTAGAGACAGAAACCCTAAACCGGACGACCGGCAAGACCACAATCGAAAATTGACGTCACAACAACGTCACGTGACCTCAAGTAAAGCTGCACTTTATTAATTCAGTTTTCATTTTTCAAGGTTCTTTGCAAGTGTCAATAATTTGCCCTTTATGCAACTTGCATGTTTTTGTACTTTGATTTAAAAATCGAAAATTTAAAAATTGAAAACTGAAAGCCTTGGGTTCTGTTTGTGATCACAGTTCATTTTGTTTTACTTTTTTATTATTTACTTATTTATTTATTTATTTCACTGCATCCCCCAGATGGGCTTGAAGGACACGACCGAGTCAAGCAGAGACGTGTGTTTTTGTGTTATTCATTTTTGTTTTCAATCGACAAAAAAAATAATTAAATCGAGCAGTACTGCCGTCGTTCGCGATGACGCGTGAACAGTTGCGTGTCGTGTGTGCAAGACTGCAGTTTCATTCTTTTTTTTTTTCATTTTCATTTGCTTGTAGCCTTGACCGAAAGGTTAAAGTGGCCATCTGTGTCTCAACTTATCCGTATTAAGTGTAACGGAAGACATCTCCATTAATCTCGACGATACCTTAAATAATTTCAACATTCCATCTTTTATATACCAGAAGGACAAAAAGGTACTTGTCTCAGTGGAAAGGACGCTTTGATATTGTTACGCAACTTTGCCGTCACTCTAGGAAAATTTATTTCAAAACAGCTGGAGCGTGGATGGGCACTTTAAGCTTTGCGCGGTGTCTTTCATAAAACAATATACCTTTTGCGTTGGAGCCATCTTTGAGATGCGTGCTTAGTTTCACGGTGACTCGCGTACAGTGTGAATACACCTGCTATATGCATTCATTGTTACTCATGACCAAAATACCCCAAAGATGGTTAATTATATTAATAATAATGGGCCTAATCGCAACATTACCGATTTCTGACACAGATCGCAAGCAGAGGGTGTGATTTAAAATATGTGCAGTAATGTTATAGTCACGTGGTATTTATCACAAATCGCTATAAATCTAGGTATAAATCTACACTATGGTGTTCCATATGTGCCATCGGCGTCGCATTTTTGGGCGTCGCAATTTTTAAGCTCTGGCACGGATCATGTTGATAGGTTTCATGCAAGACTTTCATGCAAGACGGCCAGAGGTTATTGTCAGACGCACTTGTTTACATGAAGATCAGTGGTCTGTGGGATTCGAACCCGGGTCGCACAGGTGGACGCGCAAGAAGAAGAACCACTTGGTGAACTTTAGCTTTGATTATCACTGGAAGCAGTTGAGCAAAGATGTTTTGACTGATCTGGCATCTGGGAAAGCTATCGCATTGCCAATGATGCATTCCAACAAAATACAGCTATTGGGTACCGCCCAATGGAAACCGTCTTTCCTCACTTATAGTCGGGATCTAGTGAAGCTTTGTGGTCACACCATGTGGAAATCTCTTTTTGGGAAGATGTCTGGTTCTGAAAAGAACCGGTTGGATGTTTTCGGAACCACACATCTTCCCAAAAGAGATTTCCACATGGTGTTATCGCAAACCTTCACTTGTTCATACCACCACCATACACAGTTTCAAATCTTACTTGTAGTCGAGATATACGACTTTTAGATGTGTGTTACGGAATTATCATATAAACTTGAGTATAGTTTACTATATGTTTCCTTTAAATGTAAACTCAAAATAGTTGGACAACGAAGTGAGAAGGCACAAAACTTGAAGGTTTGTCTGGTGAGGTCAGCAGTTTTTAGAAGTTCCCGGATGACACCATAAACACTTTTTTGTATGGTAATTTATGTGTTAAACTCAACGTTTCGAACGGTTTGCTGTTCTGTAGATGAACAGTGTTCAAAACATCATGCTGTTAAAATGCATAGGGTTTTTTTTTTTCAGAGCCAAACTGCTCAAAATGGAATTTCTCACAAAAAAATCTTGTCTGTTTTTTTTCTCTCCAAGATTGATGACTTTTGTGACTCCAGCGGTATAAAGACATATAACAAGCACTTGCAGATCAAGGTGAACAGTGATTTTGTTGCTGGAACGGCCGCAAGACAGACCAGTCTACACATAGACACTCAACAAAAAAGGTACGACTAGCTTTATTTTTTGGTTTTGTCGCCATGAGATATAAGTCACAGTTGATGGAGATTTTACACTACAGACCTGTTATGTCTGAGGGATGCGGAGTACTCGACTCGTTAAAGGTTCTGACACTTGTCGGAAAATTAGCATGGCAGTCGCGCCCTTTTGTGTAATCCAAACGAAAGGAGGGAGAGAACGCTATAGGCACAACTTATCTTGTGCCTTGGCCATGTCGGTCCAAACATGGAACAATCAGAACCTTTTGTTTCTCATTTGTTGTTTACCTTTCCCTAACATTTCTTAAACATCCACACCCAACCATGGCTGTTTTTGTTTCAAGTCAGCCCACACAAAATGATGACTCCGGTGCATGCTGTGAGCAGTGGTTTTATTTCTCTCCATGTCGCAATCACAGTCTGCTGCCGTAATTTGTTTTGTATTTTTGAAAAAAAAAGAACCTTGAAAGAGTGGCTGTAATTAGACAACACAGTCTGCCTCATTTTCTGCCGACCCTCAATTTATACCAGGAAAACAGTATATGCTCACGCACGTGGAATGACGCGCAACAATGCAGCAAATCAGGATATAATTGAACGTTGGCAAGGCTCTTGTCTTAATAACAGAATAATGTCGGCCTTGGTAAGCACACCGGAGAAGATATTGGCGCCTTGGCAAAGTTGTTCTTGTGACGTTTTAAAAAGAAATGGAGGTTTGGTTGTGATGAGTTTACCGACAAAAAGCATTCACGATACCGTGGTTGCGAGCAGGGCCCAATTTCACGGCGCTTAACACACAAAGTCAGGCTTATAAGAGCAGGTTACCGGTCAAAACTCCACGGGATTGCTTGTGATTAGTATTCAGCTGTTGTTTGCTCAGCATGAAAATCGCAGGAGGTTTTGGCTGTTATTCTGCTTTTATAAGCCAGATTTTGTTTGTGCTAAGCAAATTGTTGTGCTTAGCAGCACTGTAAAATTGGGTCCAGTACGCTACCTCGATAGCTCCCCTCTCGGTTATATTTGGGGCTGTAATGTGGGTTCAGTTTTTCGACCTTAAACATTTCGGCAAATGACGTTTATAAAACTAACACTCTTGATGTGCTGTGCAAACGTAACGGGTCGTGGTGCCCCAAAGGATTCCAAGATGCTATCGTATTAGGTGCTATGGTATTAGGTGCAAAATGTTGGGCACTACTGTAGAAAAATGAAACAACCAGTGTCTCAGTACTCTCTGAATGAAAAAAACACACAACTGAATATACCACAATGTATATTAAGACCTACTTTGTTATTTGGATTTATTTGTAGTCATAAAAAAGCTTCGGTAGGTAAGCATTCTGCATTGGGAGCAACATCCATGGTTTGATTTCGAAGAACGCAATCATACTGCTGAGGAGTGGTAGCAAAGATACTCATGTTCGCAGTGAATCGTGTCGGTATCTTGATGCATGCACGAACCGTTTGACGAAGCATATCGGGCCCTTCAGACGCTAAGTTTTCCCGACGTCTGTTCCATGTATTAAACGTTACACGTAGGAATAATTCGCTGTAGGTTAAGACTGACGCTGATTTTGGTATTAGTGTATTAATATGCGGAAAACGAAATGACATAAACACCTTTGCAGTTTCGGATTTGTTTCTTACATTAAACTAATTCCCAGTCATGCAGCTTTCCTTCTTGATGTTCAGTTTTGTTCGGGCACATTGTTACTACTTGATAACACAATCATTTACGATTTTGATATTCCAACATGAAGGTGCGTTTGTGTACATTGATTCACCTTCTACTTTCATTCCCTGCTAGTTCCAAGAGATAGAACATAATCCGAAACACTTTATTAATGAAATAGAAAATATGCCACCCAACCCAACAAGGGTCGCCGAAGCTACTCTGGAGAAACGACTGTTTTTTTTTCCATTAGCTGTACTACATTGTATCACACTGTGTTTGCTCACTTAATAATCAATACAATAGAGTGCTCTGACGGTTTCTGACGCAGCAGAGAATAATGATACAGGGTGAGTCAAAAAGATAATGACTGAATTAGAAAAAAAAAGTATAAAAAATATGTGGGTCGCTCCACTTCATTAAAAAATCACAGGTATAATAAAAGTACGTGTTATTGACTGGTAACTTTAAAAGATTCACGCAATTTGCATACTCTATTCCCAAGTTACGTCTATTTTAATATGCAGATTCGTACAGCTGTCCACCACTGATCATTTACCATTCTACGAACTGATGCATACCCATTAAATACTATGAAACATGGACTTTTTCCACCTAGATGAATGGAGAACTTGCAAAGGAAAACATACCAAAATCGCCATTAATATTTCAGAACAAAAATAGATGACTTGTTCCTCATATTCAAAATACAAAACTGACAGTAAAAGGATGTTTCAGTCTTTAGTAATATGATTAAAATTTCAGTTGTATTTGAATGATTTTGTGCAATCTGTGATTCTCACTCAGCTCAACTTCTTCCAATGGCGTTCTATGGATAAAAATTGGTTCTTTTAGTGAAACGTGCATAACTTCTGATAGCATGGATCAATTTCCGTAATTCTTTTTTTTTACGAGTGGGAGAACGTGCTCTTTCAAGATATACTTCGTTAGTGTTTCAAATTTGATTTTTTTTAAAGGGAAAAATCATTAATTCGGGTCAATTTCTTTTTGACTCACCCCGAAGACAGGGTGGTTTCAGTCGCTATACATTGACTTCAATAAATATTGTACAATCGAAAATAAGAGGAAGTTTTCAGCACTTTACCCACAGGTCCCATGATATCCCTATGAGACTACATTTTTGATAGGAGATTGTGCTATGCTCTTTTTATGGCACATACAAAAAACTTACATATGCAAAAAGCAAATATGGGGAATCTTTCATGGGTTTCTGTCGCAACTTTTATTTTTTTTTGTTCAAAAGAAAAGGCCAAACGACATCACTTGACTAATCAACTACGACAAACGCTTGAGCCTTCAATATCTTGGTCACTGTACGATTCCGATGACTTGCATTCAATATTTTGTTCTTTAATTGAAGGCGTTTTTTTCTAAGGTACATGCAATACGTTTATCAGCATTTTGACGTAATTGGTACAGGCTGCAGTATCTAACCCTTTTGCAGGTGTTCCGATAACCGCTGACGTCTTTGAAATAAACACAAGCGAATTTGATGGGAGAGGGAGTTTGAAAACTAATCATCGATTGAAACATGTTTCCGAGAAGTTATAACGAGTTTTTTTCGGTGCAAATATTTGAGTGGCCACAAAAGCTGACGGTTGTTTGGAGACCAAAAGCAATAACGTTTTTTACTTGTACGAGTGCAGGAAGATTAACGGCTGTTTCATGACTCCGGTCTTTCCGCTTGGTATAACGCCGCAGCCCCATCATATGCCGTAACTTGAATGGAACCACCTCCGCGATTTCTGCTCGACTTTGGCATTTAGCCACGCTCGGCCTGTTTCGTGTTTGTTGCCAGCGATGAGGCATAGTCGATCTCCGAAGGAATGAGTTCAGTGGGGCTGTGCCATTTGTGACGAAGGTGGTGTAACGATCGATTGGCTGGGAATCAGTGCCGACTTCCGAGTTGCTCCTTAAAAAAAAGGAAAAAAGAGAGAGGTTTCCGAGATTGATCGATTGGTAGAGCGGAAATTGCGGGGTTTGCCGAATCTTCCATTGCACTGATTTAGTCAAGGCTGTGTCCGAAAAATGTACGGTATGCGATCCGGGTTTAAAGTCTGTGTAACATGTAACATGTGACTTTATACGGTCATGACTACATTAGGGACCAATGCTCTATTTAATGTTATATTTTCCGCGAATCCCATAATAGTAGAACCGTAGAAGATAAATCGATTACGAATCCCTAGAATTTCTTTCTGGTCTTGATCGTTAATGTGTGTGGACGTGTAAAGGCTTCATACAAGGGGGGAAACTTCTGCAGAAGTTTTGGGGAAGCGCTGTTTAGCACCTTCTTATTTTTCTCCAAGTCGTTTGCAAACAAATTGATTGGAAGAGCTTGTCAGCGGGGAACGGTGTCCCCATGTCCCCACTCGCACACTCAATCAAATCCCTGTCCACGGATAAACTGCTTTTTCGGTAATCCAAATAAACATCACTTCTCACTATCAAGTTTGTATTCAGGTAAATGCCCGACTTGTTTTGGTCTTCTTTTTATGCAAGTTTAATTCACAATTGTATTTGTTTTCATCCTCTGAGGGTTAATTAGTCTTCATCCGGTGGCGTCATGCCCCGCTGGTGCCGTCGAATAAGCCCCCTCCCCCAGGAGAAAATGAAATATGAGACTACGATGGTCGGATATCGAATTTTAAACCGGATATTTTGCAAACAACGTAACAGTATATACAGACATTGTTTTATTGCTTCGAATTCGCACAAATATTACTTGTAGTCTTCGATTTTAGAAACCAATGGCCATTGTTCCAAACAATCATGCGACAAAATAAAGTTTGCATTGATCGTGCCACGTGGCATTGCTAATCAATTTTGAAGTTGAAGTAGGCCTATAAATCGTCAGGGAGGCAACTTGAGCTACAGCTGCTTATAGACCCAACGTGCACACGACATTAATTATGAGCTTGACATAGGCCTATTAGTACAGGTTGTACAGGTTAACAACTGCACATGAATAGGTTTAAGGACCACTGATGTAGTCGTGTCCATCACAAGTCCCTGCAAGTCCATCACAAGTCCTCTAGTCTCAAGTCAATTCAAGACCCATATACAAAGGAACTGTTACAAAAGCATACATTTGCTGTTCTTCACCCCTTACTTGTGACTGGACTTGTGACTGGACTTGTGATGGACTCGGCTACAACACTAAGGACACGCGGTTTCTCCGCAACTAGGGCAGCGGCGGTTTTCGCCGCTGCAGCTTGCACGTTGTCAGTGACATGTTCAAAATAACCGCCACTTTGTTACAGCCAAAACTACGGTGTCCCACAGTTTCTATCACCTTCAGATTGTGCTTAGATTCTTG